GACTGGAGCTCACTGACTGGAGGTCACTGACTGGAGCTCACTGACTGGAGGTCACTGACTGGAGCTCACTGACTGGAGGTCACTGACTGGAGGTCACTGACTGGAGCTCACTGACTGGAGGTCACTGACTGGAGGTCACTGACTGGAGGTCACTGACTGGAGGTCACTGACTGGAGCTCACTGACTGGAGCTCACTGACTGGAGGTCACTGACTGGAGCTCACTGACTGGAGCTCACTGACTGGAGCTCACTGACCTGGAGGTCACTGACTGGAGCTCACTGACTGGAGCTCACTGACTGGAGGTCACTGACTGGAGGTCACTGACTGGAGGTCACTGACTGGAGCTCACTGACTGGAGCTCACTGACTGGAGGTCACTGACTGGAGCTCACTGACTGGAGGTCACTGACTGGAGCTCACTGACTGGAGGTCACTGACTGGAGGTCACTGACTGGAGCTCACTGACTGGAGGTCACTGACTGGAGCTCACTGACTGGAGCTCACTGATTGGAGGTCACTGACTGGAGCTCACTGACTGGAGGTCACTGACTGGAGGTCACTGACTGGAGGTCACTGACTGGAGCTCACTGACTGGAGGTCACTGACTGGAGCTCACTGACTGGAGGTCACTGACTGGAGCTCACTGACTGGAGGTCACTGACTGGAGGTCACTGACTGGAGCTCACTGACTGGAGGTCACTGACTGGAGGTCACTGACTGGAGCTCACTGACTGGAGCTCACTGACTGGAGCTCACTGACTGGAGCTCACTGACTGGAGGTCACTGACTGGAGGTCACTGACTGGAGCTCACTGACTGGAGCTCACTGACTGGAGGTCACTGACTGGAGCTCACTGACTGGAGCTCACTGACTGGAGCTCACTGACTGGAGGTCACTGACTGGAGGTCACTGACTGGAGCTCACTGACTGGAGCTCACTGACTGGAGCTCACTGACTGGAGCTCACTGACTGGAGGTCACTGACTGGAGCTCACTGACTGGAGGTCACTGACTGGAGCTCACTGACTGGAGGTCACTGACTGGAGCTCACTGACTGGAGGTCACTGACTGGAGGTCACTGACTGGAGCTCACTGACTGGAGGTCACTGACTGGAGGTCACTGACTGGAGCTCACTGACTGGAGCTCACTGACTGGAGGTCACTGACTGGAGCTCACTGACTGGAGCTCACTGACTGGAGCTCACTGACTGGAGGTCACTGACTGGAGGTCACTGACTGGAGGTCACTGACTGGAGGTCACTGACTGGAGCTCACTGACTGGAGCTCACTGACTGGAGCTCACTGACTGGAGGTCACGGACGAACTCACTGACTGGAGCTCACTGACTGGAGCTCACTGACTGGAGGTCACTGACTGGAGGTCACTGACTGGAGCTCACTGACTGGAGGTCACTGACTGGAGCTCACTGACTGGAGCTCACTGACTGGAGGTCACTGACTGGAGCTCACTGACTGGAGGTCACTGACTGGAGGTCACTGACTGGAGGTCACTGACTGGAGCTCACTGACTGGAGGTCACTGACTGGAGCTCACTGACTGGAGGTCACTGACTGGAGCTCACTGACTGGAGGTCACTGACTGGAGGTCACTGACTGGAGGTCACTGACTGGAGGTCACTGACTGGAGCTCACTGACTGGAGGTCACTGACTGGAGCTCACTGACTGGAGCTCACTGACTGGAGCTCACTGACTGGAGCTCACTGACTGGAGGTCACTGACTGGAGGTCACTGACTGGAGGTCACTGACTGGAGCTCACTGACTGGAGGTCACTGACTGGAGGTCACTGACTGGAGCTCACTGACTGGAGCTCACTGACTGGAGCTCACTGACTGGAGCTCACTGACTGGAGCTCACTGACTGGAGGTCACTGACTGGAGCTCACTGACTGGAGGTCACTGACTGGAGGTCACTGACTGGAGGTCACTGACTGGAGGTCACTGACTGGAGGTCACTGACTGGAGGTCACTGACTGGAGCTCACTGACTGGAGCTCACTGACTGGAGGTCACTGACTGGAGGTCACTGACTGGAGCTCACTGACTGGAGGTCACTGACTGGAGGTCACTGACTGGAGCTCACTGACTGGAGCTCACTGACTGGAGCTCACTGACTGGAGGTCACTGACTGGAGCTCACTGACTGGAGGTCACTGACTGGAGGTCACTGACTGGAGGTCACTGACTGGAGCTCACTGACTGGAGCTCACTGACTGGAGCTCACTGACTGGAGGTCACTGACTGGAGGTCACTGACTGGAGCTCACTGACTGGAGGTCACTGACTGGAGCTCACTGATTGGAGGTCACTGACTGGAGGTCACTGACTGGAGCTCACTGACTGGAGCTCAGTGACTGGAGGTCACTGACTGGAGCTCACTGACTGGAGCTCACTGACTGGAGCTCACTGACTGGAGGTCACTGACTGGAGCTCACTGACTGGAGGTCACTGACTGGAGCTCACTGACTGGAGGTCACTGACTGGAGCTCACTGACTGGAGGTCACTGACTGGAGCTCACTGACTGGAGCTCACTGACTGGAGGTCACTGACTGGAGGTCACTGACTGGAGGTCACTGACTGGAGCTCACTGACTGGAGCTCACTGACTGGAGCTCACTGACTGGAGGTCACTGACTGGAGCTCACTGACTGGAGCTCACTGACTGGAGCTCACTGACTGGAGGTCACTGACTGGAGCTCACTGACTGGAGCTCACTGACTGGAGGTCACTGACTGGAGGTCACTGACTGGAGGTCACTGACTGGAGCTCACTGACTGGAGCTCACTGACTGGAGGTCACTGACTGGAGCTCACTGACTGGAGGTCACTGACTGGAGCTCACTGACTGGAGGTCACTGACTGGAGGTCACTGACTGGAGCTCACTGACTGGAGGTCACTGACTGGAGCTCACTGACTGGAGCTCACTGACTGGAGGTCACTGACTGGAGCTCACTGACTGGAGGTCACTGACTGGAGGTCACTGACTGGAGGTCACTGACTGGAGCTCACTGACTGGAGGTCACTGACTGGAGCTCACTGACTGGAGGTCACTGACTGGAGCTCACTGACTGGAGGTCACTGACTGGAGGTCACTGACTGGAGCTCACTGACTGGAGGTCACTGACTGGAGGTCACTGACTGGAGCTCACTGACTGGAGCTCACTGACTGGAGCTCACTGACTGGAGCTCACTGACTGGAGGTCACTGACTGGAGCTCACTGACTGGAGCTCACTGACTGGAGCTCACTGACTGGAGGTCACTGACTGGAGCTCACTGACTGGAGCTCACTGACTGGAGGTCACTGACTGGAGGTCACTGACTGGAGCTCACTGACTGGAGCTCACTGACTGGAGCTCACTGACTGGAGCTCACTGACTGGAGGTCACTGACTGGAGCTCACTGACTGGAGGTCACTGACTGGAGCTCACTGACTGGAGCTCACTGACTGGAGCTCACTGACTGGAGCTCACTGACTGGAGGTCACTGACTGGAGGTCACTGACTGGAGCTCACTGACTGGAGCTCACTGACTGGAGGTCACTGACTGGAGGTCACTGACTGGAGCTCACTGACTGGAGCTCACTGACTGGAGGTCACTGACTGGAGCTCACTGACTGGAGCTCACTGACTGGAGCTCACTGACTGGAGCTCACTGACTGGAGCTCACTGACTGGAGCTCACTGACTGGAGCTCACTGACTGGAGGTCACTGACTGGAGCTCACTGACTGGAGGTCACTGACTGGAGGTCACTGACTGGAGCTCACTGACTGGAGCTCACTGACTGGAGCTCACTGACTGGAGGTCACTGACTGGAGGTCACTGACTGGAGCTCACTGACTGGAGGTCACTGACTGGAGCTCACTGATTGGAGGTCACTGACTGGAGGTCACTGACTGGAGCTCACTGACTGGAGCTCACTGACTGGAGGTCACTGACTGGAGCTCACTGACTGGAGCTCACTGACTGGAGGTCACTGACTGGAGGTCACTGACTGGAGCTCACTGACTGGAGGTCACTGACTGGAGCTCACTGACTGGAGGTCACTGACTGGAGCTCACTGACTGGAGGTCACTGACTGGAGGTCACTGACTGGAGCTCACTGACTGGAGGTCACTGACTGGAGGTCACTGACTGGAGGTCACTGACTGGAGCTCACTGACTGGAGCTCACTGACTGGAGCTCACTGACTGGAGGTCACTGACTGGAGCTCACTGACTGGAGCTCACTGACTGGAGCTCACTGACTGGAGGTCACTGACTGGAGCTCACTGACTGGAGCTCACTGACTGGAGGTCACTGACTGGAGGTCACTGACTGGAGGTCACTGACTGGAGCTCACTGACTGGAGCTCACTGACTGGAGCTCACTGACTGGAGGTCACTGACTGGAGCTCACTGACTGGAGGTCACTGACTGGAGGTCACTGACTGGAGCTCACTGACTGGAGCTCACTGACTGGAGCTCACTGACTGGAGGTCACTGACTGGAGGTCACTGACTGGAGCTCACTGACTGGAGCTCACTGACTGGAGGTCACTGACTGGAGGTCACTGACTGGAGCTCACTGACTGGAGCTCACTGACTGGAGCTCACTGACTGGAGCTCACTGACTGGAGCTCACTGACTGGAGCTCACTGACTGGAGCTCACTGACTGGAGGTCACTGACTGGAGCTCACTGACTGGAGCTCACTGACTGGAGGTCACTGACTGGAGCTCACTGACTGGAGGTCACTGACTGGAGCTCACTGACTGGAGCTCACTGACTGGAGGTCACTGACTGGAGCTCACTGACTGGAGCTCACTGACTGGAGCTCACTGACTGGAGCTCACTGACTGGAGGTCACTGACTGGAGCTCACTGACTGGAGCTCACTGACTGGAGCTCACTGACTGGAGGTCACTGACCGGGTGGTTCTCCCTGCCATACATGTTTTTCAATTGCTGGTTTCCAGGCGCCCATAAACGGTCTCTGATCCTTTGCCTCCCTGCATGCTGCCTCACTCCCCTCAGAAGCGGGGGGCGGACGGCAAGGCAGCAGCAGGGGCGCCGGGCGGCAAGAAGGGGAAGAAGGACAAGGCGGGGGAGAAGGACGCGCTCAAGGGGGGCGCGGGGGGCGGAGCAGGGGGGGCAGCGGGGGCAGGGGGGGCCGCTGGAGGAAAGGGGGGGAAGGCGGGGGAGGGCAAGGGGGCGGGCGGGGCTGCTGCGATGAATGCCACGCGTGTGGCGTCGCACCTGCCTCTCCCCAAGATGTGAGCTTCCGCCACTCTCTGCTTTTCTCGTACTGCCGTCTCTCCCCACCTGGCCACGTCCTGCTGCCTTGCTCTGGTTCGATTCAACCGTGACTCAGCTCCTCTGCTCCTTTCACCCGTGTTTCTCCTTTCTCTTCTTCTCCCCTCTCTGCTGCGTCCGCGGGTGGTCACACAAGGCAGGAGGGAGGAGGCGGAGAAGCAGGTGTTTGACGACTTGAGGCGGCGTGTGGCACTGGGAGCCCAGGCTTTGCCGTCTGTGTGCTGCTACACGCTGCTGCACGCGCACTCCAGGTACCCATGCATGCTGCTGGGTGCACTGCTGCTGCCATCGTGCTCGAGATGGACTGTTTTGCACAGTGCGCTGCTGCAAGCACAGAAGCCAAGCCACTCTGCCATGCTGCCTCAGCACAGCGGCTTCTGATTGGGAACCACTAATCGGCTTCTGATTGAGTACCACTCATCTTCTCTCGATTGAGTGCTGCCTCACTCTCTCACTCTCTCGCTCTCTCACCCCGCACATTTGTCCCCTGTGCCCTGCGTCCCCCCACGCCAGCATGACGTCAGTGTCCGTTGCTCCTGATGGTGCACTGCTGGCTGCAGGCTTCAATGACTCGTCCGTCAAGGTGATAGTGACACACACGCATGCATCAAGTTGTTAACCAAGTGACTTTTGAGTCGACTCAAAAGTCACCCCGTCAAGGTGATAGTGACACACACGCATGCATCAAGTTGTTAACCAAGTGACTTTTGAGTCGACTCAAAAGTCACCCCGTCAAGGTGATAGTGACACACACGCATGCATCAAGTTGTTAACCAAGTGACTTTTGAGTCGACTCAAAAGTCACCCCGTCAAGGTGATAGTGACACACACGCATGCATCAAGTTGTTAACCAAGTGACTTTTGAGTCGACTCAAAAGTCACCCCGTCAAGGTGATAGTGACACACACGCATGCATCAAGTTGTTAACCTCAATCAGGCCTCAAGTTGTTAACCTCAATCAGGCCTCAAGTTGTTAACCTCAATCAGGCCTCAAGTTGTTAACCTCAATCAGGCCTCAAGTTGTTAACCTCAATCAGGCCTCAAGTTGTTAACCTCAATCAGGCCTCAAGTTGTTAACCTCAATCAGGCCTCAAGTTGTTAACCTCAATCAGGCCTCAAGTTGTTAACCTCAATCAGGCCTCAAGTTGTTAACCTCAATCAGGCCTCAAGTTGTTAACCTCAATCAGGCCTCAAGTTGTTAACCTCAATCAGGCCTCAAGTTGTTAACCTCAATCAGGCCTCAAGTTGTTAACCTCGATCAGGCCTCAAGCTCACTTCCATCACATTTTGATTTCAATCCTTACTTAGTTCTAATAAATGAGCTCTTACCCTGCCTCCCCATCTCCTCTTCCCCTTCGTTCCTCTCTCTCTCCTTTTCGTCCCTTATTTTCCCCTCTGTCGCTCCTGTCCCACCACACAGGTGTGGGACATGCGATCCATTGGCTCCTCCCCCCTCCCGCAAGGTACATCTCTCCCCCCTCCCGCAAGGTACATCTCTCCCCCCTCCCGCAAGGTACATCTCTCCCCCTTGCCACAAGGTACATCTCTCCCCCTTGCCACAAGGTACATCTCTCCCCCTTGCCACAAGGTACATCTCTCCCCCTTGCCACAAGGTACATCTTTCCCCCTTGCCACAAGGTACATCTCTCCCCCTTGCCACAAGGTACATCTTTCCCCCTTGCCACAAGGTACATCTCTCCCCCTTGCCACAAGGTTCGGCTCTGCTCTGCCTACTCTCACCTCTTTGAGAGCACAGTGTAACTAACTACTCCCCCTTGCTGCAAGCAAGGCATGTCTCCCCTACCCTACTGCCTCTTCTTGCCCGACGTTTCTCATTCCAAATTTTCCATCTGTCATTTCTCCTCTGTCTCTCGCACCCCGTTCACCATTCCTCACCTCTCACATCACCTCTGCATCATCAACCCTCATGTATCGCATTTCCCCCCCTCCCTCCCCTTTCTCCCGCTCCCATCCCTTCACCCTCCTCCCCCAGCCGCCCTATCTCTCGACACCTCAGCAGCAGCGGAAGCCCCAGCCATGCAGCACACACCACGTGGACACTCCACAGCCACCACCACCACCACCACCCCCCCCACCCCCACCACCACGAGCAAGCGCTACATGGCCCTGCGGGGTCACAGTGGCGCGGTGCACGCAACCTCCTTCAGTCCGTCAGACGACCGCTTTCTCCTCTCCGCCTCCTCTGATGCCTCGGTGCGCCTGTGGCACGTGGGGCTGGGCGCGTGCCTGGTGGCGTACCGCGCGCACTGCTACCCCGTGTGGGACGTGCAGCACTCGCCCGTGGGGCACTACTTTGCGACGGCATCGTATGACCGCACGGCGCGCGTGTGGAGCATGGAGCGCTCGTACCCGCTGCGCATCATGGCTGGCCATCTCTCCGATGTGCATGTAAGTCGTGCAGCACTCGCCCGTGGGGCACTACTTTGCCACCGCATCGTATGACCGCACAGCACGCGTGTGGAGCATGGAGCGCTCGTACCCGCTGCGCATCATGGCTGGCCATCTCTCCGACGTGCATGTCAGTCCCTTCCTTTCTAAGATTGTTATTCTCTTGTGGTTTGGTGGAAGATTTATTAAACTTTCATCCTTGTGCTGAAAGCTTCCTCACGAGTGTGGTCCCCTCCCCCGGGACCGCACGGCACGCGTGTGGAGCATGGAGCGCTCGTTCCCGCTGCGCATCATGGCGGGCCACCCCTCCGACGTGCATGTCAGTGGTTTCGCTGCCTCCTTGGGACGTTTTTTTATATCCATGTGCATGTCAGTTGTTGTCCTGTTACGGTTGAACCCTGTGTGCGTGTGAGTCGCTCCTTCCTGGTCCACGAGGCCCAAGACCCTCTCTCTCTTAACACTCTGCCTCTTCCCTGCCTCGCCTCTCCCCGTCCCTCCCCTCTCGAACGCCTTTCTCTCAACCCCCCCTTTCTCGAGTTGGTGCGCTGGCTTGCCAAGTACCCACCTGCTCAAGCAACAACTCAAGCCTCGCTTTTCTAAAAGCTCAGGCTTCCCTCCTTCCACACTCCCCCTCCCCCCCTTCCTCCCCCTCTCCCAGGCGGTGCGGTGGCACGCCAACTGCAACTACATCGCCACGTGCTCCAGCGACAAGACGCTGCGCCTGTGGGACGTGCAGACCGGCGAGTGCTGCCGCGTCTTTGCCGCCCACCGCTCGCCCGTGTACGCACTCGCCACGTCCCCCGACGGCCGTTTCCTCGCATCAGGGGATGAGGGTGGAGCAGTGCTGCTGTGGGATCTGGGCACGGGCCGATGCATTGCACCCCTGCTGGGCCACACTGGCTGCGTGTGGACGCTCGCTTTCAGGTGGGTGCAGTGCGGTTCTGTGTGATGTTTTGCTCTCGTGCACTTTGGCTGTAGTTTTGAACCGCCTCGAAAGGACCTGGGCACGAGCCACTCCATCTCGCCCCTGTTGGGCCACACTGACTGTGTGTGGACGCCCCCCTTCAGCTGTGTGGGATCTGGGCGGTGCAGGGCTGTTCGTGCTGTGCTCTTGTGCTCTTTCCCTTGTATCGACATCACGAGTCGATATGCAGCCTGCTCTGACCCCCGGATGGTGCTCTGCTTTGATTATCCCTGCCTTAGTCCCCAAGCTGCTGCCATAAGCCACCCCTTCCCCTTCCTTACCTCCCTCCCATGCATCTCCTCCCCTCGGCCCTGCTTGCCTGCCTGCGGGGCGAGCAGTGGCGAGTCAGCAGTGCTGGCATCGGGGGCAGCGGACGACACAGTGAGGTTGTGGGACGTCGCTGCTGCCAGCAAGCTCGCTCCCAACGAGGCCAAGTGAGTGGGGGGGATGGGATGTGAGTGGGGGTTGGGGGGGGGCATGTCATGTGGCATGAACTGGTGATTCTGAGCGAGTATAGATGCTCTGCTTGATGACTTTTGAGTCGACTCAAAAGTCATTCTGAGCGAGTATAGATGCTCTGCTTGATGACTTTTGAGTCGACTCTAAAGTCATTCTGAGCGAGTATAGATGCTCTGCTTGATGACTTTTGAGTCGACTCAAAAGTCATTCTGAGCGAGTATAGATGCTCTGCTTGATGACTTTTGAGTCGACTCAAAAGTCATTCTGAGCGAGTATAGATGCTCTGCTTGATGACTTTTGAGTCGACTCAAAAGTCATTCTGAGCGAGTATAGATGCTCTGCTTGATGACTTTTGAGTCGACTCAAAAGTCATTCTGAGCGAGTATAGATGCTCTGCTTGATGACTTTTGAGTCGACTCTAAAGTCATTCTGAGCGAGTATAGATGCTCTGCTTGATGACTTTTGAGTCGACTCAAAAGTCATTCTGAGCGAGTATAGATGCTCTGCTTGTCTTAATCACTGCCTGCCCTGTCTGCCGTCATCCCTCTTTGCTGTATTTCCCCCCCTAAGGTGCCTCCTGTGTTTCGCCTTCCTCCCTTCCCCCCACGCCTGCCCATGCTTGGGCATCAGAACGTCAGTGGGGCGGCGGTTGCGCCTTCTCAAGACCTTCCCCACCAAGTCAACGCCCATTTCCACCCTGCAGGTATCCCCCTCTCACCACCCATCTCCGCCCTGCAGGTATCCCCCTCTCACCACCCATCCCTCCTCAAACAACCTCAAAGTGTGGTTTGCCTCTTTGTCCGCCTCCCTCCATTCGCACAACACCTCTCTTTCCAAGCGTCTTCCCCCCCTTCGCAACTCTCCCTTGCAATCTTCGAAGGCCTCCTCTCTATCCCCCGTTTCAGTCGCCCAATGCCCCTCTTTCCAACTCGCCCTGCACTGCAATTCCCCCATTCTCCTCCTCGTCATGACCATGACTCTCTACTCGCTTCACTACGCCCCTCTCGGCAGTTCACGCGGCGCAATCTGCTTGTGGCAGCTGGGGCCTTCAAACACTCCGACCCTGCATCTTGATGCTGCATGCCACATGTGACATGCCACATGCCACATGCTATGCCAGCATGGGTGCTCAGGGCAAGCCATGTCATGCAAATAATTTATGTGTGCTACATCAGTAATCAAAGGTACTCGAACTTGAAACATTGTACGGTACACTGCATTGATGCATTCTTTAGCTGAAAGTGATTACAGGAATCACACCTTCTGATCTAAGCTTTACCGAAATTGGATGTTGCCATCCACCAGCAGGCACAGAAGGGTTTGAGTTACCGTAACACAGGAAAATGCAATCACAATCTTAGATGCTCCTTCTGCTGATCCTACGATTAGCAAGATCACAAGCACTAGTAGAGAGTACCGTGTCTGATTTTTAACAAACGTTTAGACAGCACACACTGACGCCATTATTGACACGCATACGTGCTGCCTTAGCTAAGCACGAATGTACACTATCACCCGTAATGACCGTGAAGAAAAAAAGAACGAAAGAAGTAAAAAAAAACTAAATATTCTCAGCTGGCCCATGGGTTCGACATCACGGCACCCCGGTGCGAGCCTGCTATTGCATGCGGCTGTGCGCCGCCAATCCCCGCGCCTTGCGCCACCATGGCTGCGCGCGCCTGCATCAACCCCGCGGGGTGCATCGCCTGCTCCACTCCGCCCCACGCCTCCACTCCCCCCCATCCGTCCCCCCCATCCACATCCATCGCGCAGTCGTTAATAGCTCCTCCCCGCCGCGCGCCTCCCGCCTGCCCCCTCTGAACCCCCGCGGCAATATCCCCAGAGACTGTCCCCGCCTGCCAAGGGTTCGTGCCAAAAACGTTCCGCGGCTGGCGCGATGTTTGCGCAGCAGCTGTCCCCCGACGCTCCGCGCGGGTGCTGCAGACCTCCTCCTCGCTGTCGGATCCCGCGCCCCCCGCGCCGTTCGCGGCGTGCAGCGCTTGACTGCGCGCGTCCACGCTACTCGCGTCGTTGACCGCGTTAATAGCAGCAGCGGAGCGGTCGGATTTGCGCGCCGAGCGGATGCAGTCAAGCGACCGACGGCGGCGGGAAGGGTCATTGTGCGGCGCGTAGAGACACGCCCAGTCCGTCGCCCCCGGCGCCGCACTCGCCGCTGGCGCTGGTGCTGGAGTTGGCGCTGTCGTTTGGGTGCGCACAGCCGAAGCGGAATGGTCGAAACCCGCTTCGGCCTGTGGTTGCATGACGGGCTGCCCGCTTGGTCGTCCAAACACATCCTGACCGTTGTAGACGCTGTTTCGGTGCATCGGACGCTCAAGATCGTCGATTTGGAGGGACATGCGGCGCGTGGAGGAAATGGGGGACTCGACCGCGGTGGACATAGGGGAGCGGGAGGGGCACGGGGAGTGCGCGGACGGCGGAGCAGCGGAGACCTCCATTGCGACCATGGCGGAGTGCAGCTCCAGGCGCTGCCGGTGGGACCCGCCGTTCAACATACGCTGAAACATTCTCGGGAGCTCTCCTGCGTCCACCAACTTCGATTTGTCGGAAAAGACCCTCCGTTGAAGCTAGGCTGGCTTAAAACAAGCTGAAATTTGTTAACAACTAGAACCGCGCGGGATTTGCGCGAGTGTACAGCTGAGGGATGAGGATAAACAATACCGCCAGTTGCGTCCCTCTAACCCCAAGCAAAGCTTGACGGAATGCCCTAACAAAACAGGAGCGTCGAAACAAAGGCTGCTCAGGAAACTGGGCCTTGAAGGAGATGAGAGGAGGAAAGAGGAGGATGGAAGTGAAGGCAAAATGGAAGGGGGGGGAGTGCGCAGTGCGCAGTGCGAGATAGTCCGCGCGTGCAACCCAGTGGTGGCGGATCCCCTGCCCACACTGCAAAGTGACGTACGCCGCTTCCCTCATTGGTTCCCCTCCCCTTCTGCCCCCGTGACTACAACAGCCCTCCCTCTTCTCCCCCACATGAACCTCATCCACTTCCGAAACCGCTTCCAGGTCTTGTCGGACTCGGTTTTTCCCTGCTATGCTGTCCGCCTACTCCGCATCGCGGAGCAGTTGGTGCGCTATGCCGCTGCCGAGTGCGGCACTGTGGCGGTTAATCGATCGCAGTCGGAGCTTGTGGGGCAGCGCCAGCTGGCACTGGGGGACTTGCTTGGTGGAAGTGGCAGAACAGATCAGGCTGGGCAGGTGAAAGAATCGTCCTTGGAGGGATGGGACAGGATGAAGCTTCATGCTGGGCGTTACAGTCCACGCTGTTACGATATTCACAATCCCTGACAAGTGAGGCCGCCCGATGACAGTCTGTCTGGGTCTGCGCCACAAAAATGACCCCAACCCAACATCACACCCGCAGCTGTGCCAAATCTTTTCCTGCCCCCTCCACGAGCCCTGGTGGACCACAGAAATAGGGTTGCAGCAGCATCTGCTCCGTATCATGCAAGCACATATTGCTGCGTTCAATGACCGAGATGAACAATTTAGAACAAGCTGTACACTAGTAGTGTGTAGATTACGTCGCCACCCACGCAACCCTTCAATCTATATCTGTGTTGTTGCCATAATGTTCCTGTCGGAGTGGCGGAGTGGCGGAAAGTGCCCGCATATAGCACTGTAGTCCCCTTGAAAGCGCAGGGTCGCTAGTAGTACCCCTGCGAAAGCTACTTACCCATCTGATTTTGCCTCAGTGTGGTGCTTTGGTATGCTGGACTTCGGGTAGACTGGGAAAACATTTGTTCAATTGGTCTTGCCCAATCACGGCTTTGCAGCAAGCCTGACTGTCGAGTGTGGCGTTGCATTGCAAAAGTCGTCTGTGCAAACCCCGGAGATCCAATAGGACGTCGAAGAATGAACTGCTTTTTCAGCGTTCCATTGGCTGAATATTTGTCCAGCTATCAGACACCGAATCCTGCGACGTCAAAACATTTGGGTCCATGTTTTTCTGCCATGCCATTCGCAAGCCCCACTTCTCCTCACCAGACCGACTGTGACTCCTTACAGTGCACTTCACAACCCAGATTCTGCGCTGCTATACATGTTATGTGATCTTGCCATTTTTAAACTGAATATAGCTCCTGCCGCACATTGTACATATTTCAGTCCACATCATATGATTTTCTGCAAACCCGGTCGACGCAGTTACCAATCTCGTCAGCCCTCGCTCGGCACTCGTATGCCAAGAATCGTGATCGGACATTTTCAAGTTTCAGAATTCCGTTTCATACCAGCTATCATCACCTCCACCCTTTCTTCCGCTGTTTTGACGCGCCGCCCGCTCCCTGCTTCCGAATCTCATGGTGGCTGCGGCTCCGCCTGCTGCTGAGCGAGCGACGGCATCTCGAGCTGCAGAATGGCCTGAGCTATCCGCTGTTAAAGGGCTCAACAGCAATTTACGCATCCTGTCAACTGACCAGGTACCGTCCGACCAGCAATTACACCAAACTGAATCAGTCTACGTCAGATGGCATCCAAAATTCCGTCATGTCACGTTCGAGTGTCCTCCCTGCTGTGCCTGCTTGTTCGCTGCTCCGCTCTTCCTTTCCCTCCGCCCTTCAGATCGACCTGGCCGGCAAGCTTGTCTCATGCGGTCAAGCGCATCTTTTCGCCCATTGGCCGGAGCCTGGAAGCAATGATGACGACAAGCGGCGGTTCTTCGAGCAGGTGAGGGAAGGAAGGAGGGCGATGGGAGCATCCCACTGGCACCATGCCCATGCCCATGCCCATGCGTCTCCATTCCGCGCTACGAGTCTTGGCTGCAGCCTCCACCCTCTGCCCATCCCCCCCTCTCCTTATCTTCCCCGTTCCCCCAACCTCCCTCCTCAAACATCGCCTCTACTGTCTCCTCCCGATTCTCCAACCTCCCCTGACCCCCAGGCGGTGCGGCTGGATGCGAGCTACCCGGGGGGTCTACCACGCTACATCAGCAACGCGAGGCGGCTGCTCGCAGACTCAAGGGACGGAGTGAACCCCTTCCATGGCTTCACCCCTGCTGTGCCTTCGGGCGTGCGCGTCAGGTTCGGCGACCCCGACTTCGACGAGTTTGAGGCTCGGGGAATGGCGGAGGCTCGAAATACCGCGTTTGTGCTGGTGGCGGGTGGCCTGGGGGAGAGGCTCGGGTACAGTGGGATCAAGGTGAGGAGAAGGAGAGAAGAGGAGAAAAGAGGAGAAAAGAGGAGAGGAAAGTGGAGAAAAGAGGAAAGAGTGAAAAGAGGAAAGAGTAGGAGATTATACACTAGACCAAGCACTTCTCTTCCCCAGCCCCCCACAACCCTCTCCAACCTCCCCTTGCTGCGCCTGGTTTCGCCTTTCGCTGAATGCAGGTGGGGCTGCCAGCAGAGAGCACCACGGAGCACTGCTTTCTGCAACACTACATTGAGAGTATCCTCGTGCTGCAGCACGCCTCCAATGCCCTCACGCCAGGTCAGCGCTGCAGCACGCCTAAAAAAAAAAAAAACAAACAAACAAACAAACAAACAAAAAACGACTGCGTTTACACAGACGGACGCATTGGTGAAAAAACCCGTGTTCTTGCACCTCCTGCCTGCTCCCCTCACCCCCCATCAGATGAGCCCCCGCGGCGCATCCCCCTGGCCATCATGACATCGGATGACACCCATGCGCGCACAGAGGCGCTGCTCAGGTCGCACGGCTACTTTGGCATGCACCCCGGCCAAATCACTCTGCTCAAACAGGTCTGCACGGGTGTGATGGGTGAGACGGGTGTGAGGGTGTGAGGGTTTGGGGGGTGTGAGAGGCGTGAATCTTCTGGGTTGACGCAGCTTGACATCTCTCTGCGTGCCTCGCTCCCTGCTGACAGCATGGCTGAGCGAGAGGGGGAGCTGGCCATATGCACGGCTGCCTCAAACGCACACTGCTGACTGTGCCTCCCCACCCGGCGGCCATGGCATGGCAGGAGAAGGTGGCGTGTGTGGCGGACAACGACGCGCACCTTGCCCTCGACCCGAAAGACCCTTTCCTCATCCAGGTGTGCTCGCCTCCCTGCCCACTGCCCAGCACATGCCTATACCATCACTCTGCATGTACCTCTTTTGAGGCGCCTGAGCGCCTCAAAGGTTGCCTCTTGCATCTCTCTGCAGCTCCCACTCCGTTCACTATACTCAATCCATCTGCTACGATTTGCCCTTTCTGCCCCCCTGCATGCTCGTGCTCTCATCTGTGCTGCCTCCAAATGGCAGACGAAGCCGCATGGGCATGGCGATGTGCACATGCTGCTGCACCAGAGCGGCCTCCTGCCCACATGGTGTGTGTGTGTCCTCATGTGATGCCATGCCATTCCATGCAATACTATGCGGTTTCACAAGAATTGCGGTGTCATAGTTTGTTTTTGGTGATCATTAGCCCTGGATATGGGATTTTGCTCTGCTTGCTCCACATGTGTCCGCTCAGGTTTTTAAAGCACGCGTTTGATTTTCACATGGTTGGCATGGCACATGCACATGCACGCACATGCACATGCACATGCACATGCACATGCACGTGCAGGAGAGCAGCGGGAGTGGAGTGGGTGCTCTTTTTCCAGGATACCAATGGTCTACTCTTCAAGGTACGCTGCATATGCACCTCTTTGCACCGCACCAAGATCACTCGTACCGCAGTGCCTGTGCAGTGCACCTCCATACCGCCCGTGCACTGGTCATGCTGCATCAGTCGCACCTGCAAGCCTACAGCTACCCTGTCTCTGCATCTCGTGAATATCTCTCTCCATCTCCTCTGAACCCTCCCCACATCCGCTGGTGCTATGCTGTGGCGCCCGGTGGTGGCGTGGCATGCTCGTTGGGGGTGAGCGTGGTGAGGCGGGAGGCAGCTGGACCTGAAGTTGGTCATCTGTGCACTAGTTGCTCATGCTGCATCAATTCGCACCTTCAAGACACACAGCTCTCAACCCAGTTCCCGCACCTCGTCATAACCGAACGCCTCTCTGTCTGTCTGCCTCCCCGTCTCCCTTGGCAGGTGGTGCCTAGCTCGCTGGGGGTGAGCGCAAGAAGACAGCTGGACGTGAATTCGCTGGCCGTGCCGCGCAAGGCCAAGGAGGCCATCGGGGGAATCGCGAGACTCACACACTCCGATGGTATGAATGGGGGTAGGGTAGGGGGTGGGTGGTATGAGGGTAGGGATGAAGGGATGGGTTAGTGCGCTGAGGCAGCTGGACGTGAATTCGCTGGCCGTGCCTCGCAGCGTATGTTTTTTTAGAATTCTCAAAAAACATACTGGCCGTGCCGCGCAAGGCCAAAGAAGCCATCGGGGGGATTGCAAGACTCACGCACTCCGATGTTAGACATGGAGAGGGGGAGGAGTAAGAGGGTAGAATGGAGGGGGTGCACGCGGAGTGCAAGCAGCTGGACCGAATGTACCCATCCTGCACCTCGCTTGCACCGAATCATCCCTTCTTCCGTCCATCCTTCCACCATGCATGCATGCGTCACACCTCACAGGGCGCAGCATGGTGGTGAATGTGGAGTACAACCAGCTCGACCCGTTGCTGCGAGCGTGCGGGTGGATGTGACCATGCTGCACCTCGCTTGCACTGCATCATTTATCCATCCTTCCGACCATCCATGCACCCACTTCATCCATCCATCATGCACCACACCACGCAGGGCGCAGCATGGTGGTGAATGTGGAGTACAATCAGCTCGACCCGTTGCTGCGGGCGTGCGGGCATGACGACGGCGATGCCAACGACCCTGCCACGGGCTTCTCACCCTTCCCTGGGAACATCAACCAGGTGAGCGTCTCATGCCATGCCTTTCCACCCCATGCCATGCCTTTCCACCCCACCCCATGCCATGCCATTCCTGCCCCATGCCATGCCACGCCATTTTCTCCAAGTGACCGATGCCAACGACCCCACCACGGGCTTCTCACCCCTCCGTGGGAACATCAATCAGGTCACCTCGCCATGCCAAGCCATTCCTGCCTACCGCATGCCGTGCCATGCCATCTCACCCAAGCCATGCCATCTCACCCAAGCCATGCCATCTCACCCAAGCCATGCCATCTCACCCAAGCCATGCCATCTCACCCAAGCCATGCCATCTCACCCAAGCCATGCCATCTCACCCAAGCCATGCCATCTCACCCAAGCCATGCCATCTCACCCAAGCCATGCCATCTCACCAAGCCATGCCATCTCACCCAAGCCATGCCATCTCACCTAAGCCATGCCATCTCACCCAAGCCATGCCATCTCACCCAAGCCATGCCATCTCACCCAAGCCATGCCATCTCACCCAAGCCATGCCATCTCACCCAAGCCATGCCATCTCACCCAAGCCATGCCATCTCACCCAAGCCATGCCATCTCACCCAAGCCATGCCATCTCACCCAAGCCATGCCATCTCACCCAAGCCATGCCATCTCACCCAAGCCATGCCATCTCACCCAAGCCATGCCATCTCACCCAAGCCATGCCATCTCACCCAAGCCATGCCATCTCACCCAAGCCATGCCATCTCACCCAAGCCATGCCATCTCACCCAAGCCATGCCATCTCACCCAAGCCATGCCATCTCACCCAAGCCATGCCATCTCACTCAAGCCATGCTATCTCACCCAAGCCATGCCATCTCACCCAAGCCATGCCATCTCACTCAAGCCATGCCATCTCACCCAAGCCATGCCATCTCACCCAAGCCATGCCATCTCACTCAAGCCATGCCATCTCACCCAAGCCATGCCATCTCACCCAAGCCATGCCATCTCACCCAAGCCATGCCATCTCACCCAAGCCATGCCATCTCACTCAAGCCATGCCATCTCACTCAAGCCATGCCATCTCACTCAAGCCATGCTACCCCAAACCACGCCACGCCATCTCATGCCACGCCATGCCGTGCCAACGCCCTCGCACCTCCACGTTTCCCTCTCACTGCCTCTTCTCCCCATTGCCTCCCCCTCTGCAGCTGGTGCTGCGCCTAGGCCCCTATATAGAGGAACTCGCTAAGACGCATGGAGTGATCGGGGAGTTTGTCAACCCCAAGTGAGTGCAGCAGCAAGCCAAGGTAAAGATAGTGCGCAGGGGAGATGTGTCGTTGCATTGGAACCTGTCTCATCCATCACATAACACCGCACATTCGCCCGACTTTCCTCTTCCATCGAAACTGCCATTCCAGTACGATGGGTGGATATACACCTCTCTAACCACGGCATATCGCACTTCCTCTCTCCCCCTCTCCCCCTATCAGGTATACAGACGCCTCACGCACAGCTTTCAAGGCGTCCACGCGCCTGGAGTGCATGATGCAGGACTTTCCCCAGGCCATCGACCCCTCCCGCTCTGTTGGATTCACTGTCAGTTACTCTCTCCCACCTCTCCTTCACTGAAACTTCCACCCCCCCCTCCCCATCCTCCCCCACGTCTTCCCTGCCCCGCCCCCCTGGTTTATTTGCTGCTTCCATGAAAGAATGTTCCTTGCGGCTCCTATTCTACGTTCTATCAAAATTGTCAAGCAATCAACCTTGCTTGACAAACCCACGTGCTCCCCTCCCTTCCTCATTCTCCTTTCCCCCTCTCTCCCCTCCTCCCCTTCTCCCTTCCCCCTCTCCCTCCCTCCCTCCCTCCCCCACTTCCCCCTCAGGAAGCTGACGTGTGGCTTGCCTATTCGCCCGTGAAGAACAACCTCCGCGACGCCGTCGCCAAGCTGGCAGCGGGCACGCCACCTCACAGCGCCACGTCAGCAGAGCTCCACCTGTACCGCGCCAACTGTCTCATCCTCAAGCACTTAGGCGTCCACGTGGCAGGCCCTAAGACTGCTGTAATTGCCGGGCAAGAGGTTGAGATATGGCCTCGTGTGGTGTGGTCTCCTCTCTGGGCTCCCACCCTCGCTGCTCTGCGCTCGCGCTTTCCCCACCCCAAGCAAGTGCGGATTTCTGAGGACTCGACCTTGGTCATTGAGATTGAAAGGGGGGTGGATGGAGGAAGAGGAGAGGGAGAAGAGGTGGGGAGGGAGGGTCATGCAGGGGAGATAGAGGGAGGGGCAGCAGAGGAGGCGGGGAGAGGCGGGAGCGAGGGGGAGGGGGAGGGGCAGCAGGAGGGGCGGGTGGAGGTGCATAGCCTGCAGCTGGAGGGAGCGCTGTGGGTGAAGGCAGGGAGAGGCGTGACAGTGGTGCTGGAGGAGCTCCAGGTGTCGAACCGTGGTTGGCCGATCGTGCAAGTGGACCCGGAGGATCCGGAGATCCCTGAGTGGATTCGAATCCGAGGGTTCAGGATTGACAGACAGGAGTGCAGGCGAGTGGAGGAGAGTGCAGGGGAGAGCAGGCGGGTGGTGGTGGTGAGAGAGTGAGGGCAAATGGAAGGGGGGCGGGCAGCACACACCTGCCTTAGAAAATGTATGCGTTGTGCATCCTGCAGTGCATGCAAGCAAGCCTCCTTTAAAAGGTGGGCACGTGCAACATGCCAGTGATATAGACTTGGCTCAATGCAACCAGGAGGGCACGTGCAAGAACCCATATGAGGAAATATATTACATGTACTGTACTATAATTCTAGATACAAGTGAACAACTGTACACTGTCCCTAATGCGTTCAGTCGGAGTCAACTGTGAAAATGTCTCCAAACGGCAGAGGCGGAGAATCCCCTTTCTGCAACAGATGTTCTCTCCTTGCACCTGCTGATGAACCTGTTGATACATGCGCACCTGATGCTCCTCGTGCTCTCACTTCCCCACCTGCTCCACCTGCTCCTGTTGCTCTCGCTCTCCCAGCAACCACAGCAGCAGGCGCAGGTGCCACTGCATGCAGCACCCCTCCCGCGTGGGTTGCATGCACTGCATCCGCACTTGGGCTGCGCGTTACTCCAGTAGCAACACTTGGAGAGCCAGTCCCCACCGCATGGCGCAGAGGCAACTGCTGCTCTTGCTGCTGCTGTTGCTGCTGCTCTTGCTGCTGCTGCCTGTGTGCTGCTGGCTGGGGCTCCTGCCTTCCTTGCGCATCCACCCATGTGATGCCACCCCTTGCTTGCATCCCTTCATGTATGCCCCCATGCATATCGCCATACGAACGCCCATGCATGCCTCCATGCATGTTCCCATGCATGCCTCCATGCATGCTCCCATGCATGGCAGCATCCATCTGCTCTAGCAGCATGCTGCTACCCATGCCGCTACCATCACCCATACCACTCCCCTCCCCCATGCCACTCCTCTCCCTCACGCCAACCCCCTTCCCCTCCCCCATCCCCTCCCCCATCCCCTCCCCCATCCCCTCCCCTATCCCCTCCCACACACCGTCACTGCAGCTGAGGCTGCGGGTGGGCTGCATGCCCCGTTGTACCACCCACTGCGACCCCTCTGCACCGCTTGCAGCTTGACACTGTGCTGCAGGTCGGATTCCTATACCTGACTGTGACTGTACAGGGTGGTGACAATGAGGGGTTGAGTGCGAAGGGGCAGCATCTGCAGTGGTCTCGGGAGTAAGAAGAGCTTGCGGTGCGTGCGGAGGCGGGGAAGAGAGAGCACGGAGAGGGCTTGAGGGGGTGGAGGCAGCACGGTGATGTGTGTGGCGGTGGGGGTGGGGGGCTGGGAAGGCAAGCGTGGTGGGTGTGAGTGGGGTGTCCATGGGTGGTTGGCAGGATGAGGCAGCAGGTGGTGGGGGTTGTGTGGCGGTTACGACTGCTAATGAGGAGTGAAGTTGGGCTATTGGCGAGTGTGGTTGTACAGAGTGTGCCTGTAGGGGAAGCAGACCATGCATGCTCCTGGTATGTTGTTGTTGCTGCTGGTACTGCTTCTCCTCCTCCTCCTCTTGCTGCTGCTGCTGCTGCTGTTTCTGCTCCTCCTGCTGCCCCTGCTGCTGCTGCAGAGAAAAGGGCGTTGAGAATCGCTGGGCTGAAGCATGGGGCCGCCATGACGGGTAGCTGGCACAGAAGCTGTCACATGCATGGCAGCAACGAAAGGGTGGAAGGGGAAGGAGGGGAGACGTGGAAGGGGAAGGGGGAAAGGGAGGAAAGGGAAGGAAAAAAACGGCAGAATGAGCAGAGAGGAGGAGAAAGGTGACAACACGAGAGATCCTCACACGAGCAGTAAGATGCTCCCAATGAAACGGGTCTGCTTGTAATGAGGACACAACCACACCATCAGCCAGTGCGCACACTCAATTTCCCCCATGAGCAGGCAGGCATCACACTTACCTGGCAAACGAAGCCTCCGCCTTGCTCTCACTGCTAGCCGCTGCCACCAATGCGCCATCAACCCCCCCTCTGCGGCTCCCCTCCCAGCCTCCTTGCCCATCCTCCACTCCAACTGCTATATCCCCCACCGTCCCTCCACACACTCCCACCCCACGCCGATCCACACACTCCCCCCTTCGCATACCCCCCCTGCTCCGACCTCCCCCTTGGCCACTGCCACCTGCGCCATTATCGCCCTTGGAATCCGCATTCCAGGCACTCTTCCCGCTGCTGCTGACATGGCGCTCCTCCTGTGACTGGAAGGCACTGTGGGAGCACACGTGGCCCAGCCCCTCGTGGTACGTGGAGGTGGTGCGTAGGAAAGAGAGAATGGCGTCCGCCCTCTGCAAGATAGTGTGACAGGGAGATGGGCACGAGCGGAGGGGAAGGCAGACAGACAGACACACGGGGTGCCACTCGAACACATTGTGAGAGTGGGTGGGAGCACACGTGGCCCAGCCCCTCGTGGTACGTGGAGGTGGTGCGCAGGAAAGAGAGAATGGCGTCCGCCCTCTGTGGGATGGTGGGGAAGCGAGGTGGGCGGATGGGGAGGTGGGCGGATGGGGAGGTGGGCGGATGGGGCAGACTGGAGCAAATTAAAATTAGTGGTCTGAAATCAAACAGAAAATCAGAAGCAGGTGACAGCACTAAGACGAAACGAGTAAAGATGGATAGGGGAATGGAAAGGGAGAGGGGCGGAGGGAGGCGGTACCTGGGGAAGGATGAACCAGAGGATGAAGGGCGTGATGAAGATGGCAAGCACGTCCGCTAGGAAGAGCTGCGGCTTCAGCTGCAGGCAGGTGTGCACACGCGGGGAGGGGAGGAAAGGAAGGGAGAGGAGAGGAGAGGAGAGGAGACAAGGGGGGGAGGGCGAAGCAGGAAAAATTCCAGCACAGGGGGGGGAGCGATGAGCGAGGGAAGGCTGGCGCATGAAGCAGACTCACCCCTCAATCAAACACACCGCACACACATACACAACCTCCCCACCCCCTCCCTTCCCCCCCCCAAACACACACTTACCTGGTACAGCGTCTGAAACTCGTCCCTGACGCGCTGCGTGTGCGCCTTGCTCCTCCACCTGGCAGGCAGGAAGTGCGTGTGCGTTGCGGCCCTCAGCAGCGCGCCCCTGGGATCGACACTGCCCGCCGCCCTGTCCGCCTGCGCCACTGGCCGTGCTGCTGCCAACACCGCACCCAGTATGGCCGCGTACCACACCAGGCCACGCCCAAAGAGCTGGGAGGTAGATGGCAACAGGAGGACGGGAGACAAGAGGAGGACGGGGCACAAGAGGAATGAGTGTGCGTTGCGGCCCTCAGCAGCGCGCCCTTGGGATCGACACTGCCCGCCGCCCTGTCCGCCTGCGCCACTGGCCGTGCTGCTGCCAGCACCGCACCCAGTATGGCCGCGTACCACACGAGCCCGCGACCAAACAGCTGGGAGGTGGTGGGAGCAACAGGAGGCGAGGACACAGACGGGGTGTGCTGCTTTGAGTGCATTCATACGAACGTGCTGCTGCCAGCACCGCGCCGAGTACCACACCAGGCCGCGCCCAAAGAGCTGGGGGATAGATGGCAACAGGAGGACAGGACAAAATAGAAGGTGGCTTTTGGAGCCGATATAAGAGGGCACAAAACGGGGTGAGCAAGAGCGAGGAGTTGGTTCTATAAAGATATTGATAAAACTTGCATCTTCTGCTCCCTAGCCACACCTGCGCCTCCAGCAGCTTCTCGTCTGCGAGCGCCAAGGCCAGCAGCAGAGCAGCGCAGGAGCCGGCGACGAAGGAGAGGAGCTTGGCGGCGAGGGGAACTGCGATCCAATTGCGGGGCCTCACCTCCTTGGGCTCACCTCCTCAGTGCCTCACCTGTGCCTCTAGAAGCTTCTCGTCCGCGAGCGCCAGGGCGAGCAGCAGCGCAGCGCAGGAGCCGGCAACGAAGGAGAGGAGCTTGGCGGCCAGGGCGAGCAGCGGCGAGGGGAACTGCGATAGGTACTCGTCCGCGCGTGGGCATGCCTCGTCCAGCCGCTGGGAGGTCAGATGGTCCACCTGAGGGGGACGTGCGGGGAAGAGAAGAAGGCCGCAGTGACCGGGTTGGACATATTGCTGGATGGGTAAATAACGAGGTGGGTCTGGACTATGGAGTAAAACACAGCGACCAGATCGAACGGGTACACATGCGGCAGCTGCAACTTCCCCACTCACCTCGTTGCACCCCTTAACCACCCCTTCTCACCCCCTTTCACCCCTTAACCACCCCTTCTCACCTCGTTGTACTCCTTGAACATCCAGCGGGCGAGGTTGGACCAGGAGCGCACACCAGCCGCAGCGGGCTCATGATACAGATGATGAGCCTTGCGCAGCAGGAAGAAGGAGAGCACAAAGAGCAGCACGAACGGCGACAGCAGCGCCAGCAGCCACCCCGAGAGGATGAACCTCTGGCGCAGCGCAGCAGGGTCGTCCAGGAAGTGTTTCTGCAGGCGGCCGTGGCGGTCGAGCAGCGGGTGCAGCACGCACCAGTGCACCACCCACTCCAACGTCTTGCTCAGCACCGTCACCCGCACACACCCCTCCTCCCTCTCCTCCCATCCCTCTTCCCGCTCCTCCTCTCGCCCCTCCGCTCGCCCACTCCCTCCCTTGCGCCGCCTCCTCTCATGCACCACGTGGAAGGACAGCAGCGGCCCCACGGCACTCAGCAGCGCAGCAGCGAGCGCAGCACCCGTGCCCCCGGATCCCCTGGTACCCCCATATCCCCCAGCAGGCACGCGCACAGTGAGCAGGCGCGAGTCCACGAGCGCGACCAGGTAGTTGTCTCGCCGTGTGATGCGCGCCGCCACCTCGTACGCTGACAGGCCCCCCACCCGCGCCCTGCCTCCGCACACCCCGCCTGCCCCTCTCCCTCTTCTCTCTCCCACCACTCCCATTGCTGAAATCCCTTCTTCTGGAATTACCCTCCGTGCTCCGTCCGCCTCCATCCATTCTGGCCCCACCCCCCTCTCTCCCCCCTGCTGCGGCGGCTCCCCCTCATCCTCGTCCTCGCTGGACTCCTCCTCCCCACCCGCGCGCCCCTCCCCTCCGCCACCTGCACGCTCCCCCGCTCGTTCCCCCCTCTCCCCCGCCCCCTCGGCATTCCACGCGCGCACGAGGCGCGCCACCACGGCGGGCCAGGGCGTCATGAGCAGCTGATGGTCGCACAGGCGCAACCTGTGCGCATGGGGGGATGGGGGGATGAGGGGGGCAGAGGCGCAGGGGCGACGACGGACACGGGGAGAGAGGGATGGATTGCGGAACAACGCGCAGCGCACAGCACGCACCTGTGGCGGAAGAGCGCACAGCACGCACCTGTGGCGGAAGAGGGCGCGCGTTTCCAGCAGAGCGGGGAGGCGGAGGAAGAAGTGCGCGAAGCAGAGGAGCCAGTACAGGCACAGCAGCGCCAGGTACGCCGTTACTGTCACCTCCCACACAGTCACACGCCGAAACACGTCTCTCCGTATGGCGTGCCTCAGCACGTTGCACGCGCCCTCCGCCGCCCCCTCCGCTTCATACACTGCCGCTTCCGCTGCGCCCTCTGCTGCGCCCTCTGCTACTCTCCCCTCCACTACCCTCCCCTCTGCTAACCCCCTCTCTGCTTCCGTTCCCTCTGCTACTCTCTCCTCTGCTGCGCTCCCCTGTACAAGCCTCCTCCTCCGCTCCCCAGGGATTATCGCATCCTGCAGCGCGCCTGCTTCGACTCTCGACCCATCCCCACCACTATATACATCTACGAATGAGCCTCTATATACAGGACTATTTACAATCGTGTCTGGTCCAACATCGCTCATTGCCCCTGCACCCCTGCCCTGCGTGCCTCTCTCCCCATCTCGCTCGTACAAACGTCCCTCGCGCCACTCCCTTTCGCCCCTCGTCTCAGCCAGTGTCCGGAAAACGGGACGCTCACCCGCCCCCGTCGCCGCGAATCCACCGCTGGCGGCAGCGGCGGGAGTAGCGTGGGGAGCGGCGGAGATGGCGGCGGCTGCGGCGGCGGCGGAGGCGGCGGAGCAGTTGAGCGAGAGGAGCGCGCGCCAGTCGATGAGGAGCAGTAGCAGCGCGGAGAAGAGAATGGTGAAGGCCAGGCTGCACAGATGCACCACCCACTGCCGTCGTTGGGCGGAGGGGGGTGGGGGAGGGGATGGCGGAAGGGGAGGGGGAACGGGGAGGGAGAAGGGGTCCGGGGAGGGGAGTAAGAAACGGGAAGATTTTACGAGCTTGGGAGAGGGAAATGGAGGATGGGAGCGGTAAGTTGACGAGCAACGGTAGGCACACGGACGCCGTGACTCACGCTGGTGATGATGCACACGAAGCCTCGCCCGCAGTAGTACTCGTACACGCCTCGCATGAACCCGTCCACGTCGCCAACTCTTCGCCAGTCTTCGCCCACTTCTTCTCTCGCTCCCTCCTCTGTCAGGTCCGGAGGGCCAAGCTGCACGTCAAGCTCGGCCGCACCGAACCTACTGTTTAGGTTCGGATGTACGTCAATTTCAGCAGCTCCAAGCCTGTGCTGCAGGTTCAAGGGTTGGAGACGGCTTTCTGAGGTTGATGACGTACGGGCTTGACTCTCCTGGTCCAGAGGGGCTTGGAACTCATGAAAATCGTGAAACTCGTTATGATCACGTTTGCTACGAAACCCTATTCCGGTAGAAGAACGTTGGCGTGGTTCCCTGGTAGACGCACGTCTACTGTTCGCCGGCTCCGGCGGATCCTCGATTTCCAACGGCATGTACGCGACGCCGCGTAACGCCTCCTGATCCGCGTCATATGCCATGATGCTTCCGCGAAGGTGGCTAGCTTGTCGTAGAAATAGGGTTATCGCGAAAGGCTGGCGGGAAACGCCAGTGCACGAGAAACAAAAACCTAATCATGGATGAACAGGCTATCACAGCCTAAACGTCGACGAAACGTCTTCGAGTTTGATGTCCGTCTCGGAATATGAATGAACGAAACAGTCGTCGATGAAGCCGTGGGACGAAGCGGACAGAAGAACTCAACAGGAGCCCAATTCTTTGCATTGAAGCTGTGATGACGCGACACAGCACGAATAGACGACCGCCAGACCATGCTCTCCAGCAGCCGTGCCCTGGCTGGAAAGGAGCTGGAGGAAGGCGAGAAGAACAAGAGGTTGATAGGGATTGTGGTGCAACGTGGCTGAAAGTGTAGGGTTGTTATCTCGACAAGCAGCTTGTAGCGCGTACAAGGAAATGGGAAGGACTTGTGATGGGGACGCAAAAAAACCAGAGTGCAGCGGTTCCGTTTGATCAGTCAACCTCAAAACATCATGGTTTCTGCATACCTGTTTACTATTCTGTGTTTCCATTGGCTGCAGTGCTGCTGGTATTTCCATCTCCTTCCTGAATCATGTACTGCAAACATAGTACCGGTACGTACAGCACAAAATTCCCTGTACTGCCTCTACTCTGTATTGTCTGTAGCATCATGTCATGTGCTGCCTCAACTATTGCAGTTCTGTCTTTTCTGTAGAATCCTGTACTGCCTCTACTACTGCTGTATTGTATTGTCTGTAGAATCCTGTACTGCCACTACTACTGTACTGTACTGCAGTACTGTACGGTATTGTCTGTAAAATCCTGCACTGCCTCTACTACTGCAGTACTGTAGTGTCTGTAGAACCCTGTACTGCCTCTACTACTGCAGTAATGTATTGTTTGTTAAATCCTGCACACTTACACTACTGTAGTCCTGTATTGTTGCAGAATCCTATGCTGCAACTACTACAGCAGCATTATTATCTTACGAATTCCTGTACTACTGCAGCATTATAGTGTTACAAAATCCAGTACTGCCATTGCACTTGGAGGGTTCTTCCTTGCATGCTTGGTAGGGCCCCTCTTGGCCGCCAGGGTTGCCCCTGACGTTACACCCAAACACCACGGTGAGGTGGAGGCCATCGTTTGGGACCCTGCTGGGGGGGCTGAGAAACAAAGAGAGGAGACAAGCTATGAGGCAAACAATGCTCCTGCCCCCGGGGCAGGAGATAAGGCAAACGATGCACCTCAGGCAGACAGTGCTGTCCCAGGCTCACTGCACCTGCGGGAGGGAGGGACGCGGGAGCAATGCAAGCAACATGCAAGCACGGTCGGCACAGGTTCGACAGGGCACGGGCGCACGAACAGGTTACGGTCGGCACAGGTTCGACAGGGCACGGGCGCACGAACAGGTTACGGTCGGCACAGGTTCGACAGGGCACGGGCGCACGAACAGGTTACGGTCGGCACAGGTTCGACAGGGCACGTGTTGAATTATATTGCATATCCTAACTGCCTACAGCTTGCTAGTGTATTAGTTAGTTATTAGGTTCAACTGCTGGTGGTGTACCCTATCCTCTCCCCTATCCTATATCTTGTAAACATTCCTTAGTGAATGACCCTCTTTGCCCAATTCTCTTGCCATGCTCACTCTCGACACTCACGCTTCCTAGGTAAACCCTAAGTTACTAAGTCAAGAGTTAAGAGCGTGTTCTGACATGATATCAGAGAGTGGTCCCTCCTAGGACCTCGTTTTCATGGGCCCACCAAACCCGCGATCTGCCATGGCGACTTATTGTGCTGCTGGCATGGCTGCTACTGCTAGTAGCGCGAAATCCGCTGCTGGCTCGAAATCCGCTGCTTTTGCAGCACCCGTCGCGCTGCCCCCTTTCGCCTGCCCCGTCGCGCTGTGCCAGTGGCGAGCGTGCCAGCGAGGCGACGGCGGGCGCCAGCGCAAGCGCCAACGGCGGGCGCCAGCGCCAGCGCCAACGGCGGGCGCCAGCGCCAGCGCCAACGGCGGTCGCCAGCGCCAGCGCGGACGCCAGCGCCGACGGCGGGCGCCAGCGCCAACGCCAACGGCGCGCGCCAGCGCCAGCGCGACGCCAGCGCCCAGCGCCAGCACTTCCGCCAGCGCCAGCGCATGGGGGGGAGGGGGATGAGGGGGTGGCGGGAGAGCTTCTGCCGCGCCAGCCACCTCCTCTCCTCTCCTCTCCTCTCCTCTTCTCCTCCAGCCGCATCTCCTCCTCCTCTCTCCTCTCCTCTCCTCCAGCCGCATCTCCTCCTCCACTCTCCTCTCCTACAGCTGCATCTCCTCCTCCTCTCTCCTCTCCTCCAGCCGCCTCTCCTCTGCTCTCCTCCTGTGCACCACCACCAGCTTCCTCCTCCTCACCAACAGTTGTGTTTGCTCGTAGATGGCGAGCGACCAGCATCCTTCGCCCTCCGGCTATCCCAGCCCTCCTCCGCGCTCTCCGCGCCCTCCTCCGTTCTGGCGTTCACAGGTGCTGCCGGTCAGCCACCGCTTTTTCTGTGCCTATCCCAGCTACAGCAACCGCTCTCTAGGCAACCTGGTGCCAGACACCACTAGCTATAGCCGTAGGCAGTTACGGGGGTGTGTTGAATTATATTGCATATCCTAACTGCCTACAGCTTGCTAGTGTATTAGTTAGTTATTAGGTTCAACTGCTGGTGGTGTACCCTATCCTCTCCGCTATCCTATATCTTGTAAACATTCCTTAGTGAATGACCCTCTTTGCCCAATTCTCTTGCCATGCTCACTCTCGACACTCACGCTTCCTAGGTAAACCCTAAGTTACTAAGTCAAGAGTTAAGAGCGTGTTCTGACAGCACGGGCGCACGAACAGGTTACGGTCGGCACAGGTTCGACAGGGCACGGGCGCACGAACAGGTTACGGTCGGCACAGGTTCGACAGGGCACGGGCGCACGAACAGGTTACGGTCGGCACAGGTTCGACAGGGCACGGGCGCACGAACAGGTTACGGTCGGCACAGGTTCGACAGGGCACGGGCGCACGAACAGGTTACGGTCGGCACAGGTTCGACAGGGCACGGGCGCACGAACAGACCACCTTAGCCTGGTGCCGCCGGGGCTGATGTTGGTGCTGCTGTAGTCACTCCTCGTGCTGCTGTTGTCACTCCTCGTGCTGCTGTTGTCACTCCTCGTGCTGCTGTTGTCACTCCTCGTGCTGCTGTTGTCACTCCTCGTGCTGCTGTTGTCACTCCTCGTGCTGCTGTTGTCACTGCTCGTGCTGCTGTTGTCACTCCTCGTGCTGCTGTTGTCACTCCTCGTGCTGCTGTTGTCACTGCTCGTGCTGCTGTTGTCACTCCTCGTGCTGCTGTTGTCACTCCTCGTGCTGCTGTTGTCACTCCTCGTGCTGCTGTTGTCACTCCTCGTGCTGCTGTTGTCACTCCTCGTGCTGCTGTTGTCACTCCTCGTGCTGCTGTTGTCACTCCTCGTGCTGCTGTTGTCACTCCTCGTGCTGCTGTTGTCACTCCTCGTGCTGCTGTTGTCACTCCTCGTGCTGCTGTTGTCACTCCTCGTGCTGCTGTTGTCACTCCTCGTGCTGCTGTTGTCACTCCTCGTGCTGCTGTTGTCACTCCTCGTGCTGCTGTTGTCACTCCTCGTGCTGCTGTTGTCACTCCTCGTGCTGCTGTTGTCACTCCTCGTGCTGCTGTTGTCACTCCTCGTGCTGCTGTTGTCACTCCTCGTGCTGCTGTTGTCACTCCCCATGCTGGTGCTGCTGGTGTTGGCACTCCCGGTGCTGGCGCTGGTGCTGCCACCATGCTGCTCCATGCGCTCTTGCCGCTCCTCCAGGGCTGGCCTGTCCAGTCCTCACCAGATCCTTAGTAGCCAAGATGCATCCTGCAGAGGAATTCGGGAGGAGACTAAAGAGGACAAATAAGTTGCTGATGAAGAGCGAGTGAAAAGAGAATGCAGAACAAAACAAAGCAAGGAACAAGAAAACAAGGAACAAGGAACTTGCGACAAGGAACAAGAAAACAGGAAACAAACAACGATGCTCCCCCCAACCCAGTACTCCCTTGTGATAGAAGCCGTTGCTGGTGGCAGACGGCGCTCCATCCTCCTCCGCGCTCCAACCGCCCTCCATCCCCCCTCCCGAGTACGCTGCCGCGCCTCTCGTGCTGCTGCTGTCCTCTCCAGCTCTCCAATCCGCCATGCCGCGTCCTGTAGCAACATGGGGAGGAGGAAGCTAAAGAGGAAAGATGAGTTGCTGGTGAAGGGTCAAGCGAAAACGGAATGAAAGCAGAAGGCGAAACTTGCGACAACAGAAAGAAACAAGAAAACAAGAAACGAA